AAGCCAGTGCCCTGTGATTATGGTTAACCTTTGTGTAAGGAAGGAGTTGGTGTCAAAGGTCTGGCAGATTCATAAAGGTCCAGCTGAAGCCATCTGCCTTCCGAGGGGGAGTGGCTTCCTACCATAAGCCGTGACATCTGTACCTTAGTTTCTGGATAACAAAGTCTGTATGTAGCTGTCAATCCTTGGGAAGCTTTTAGAGTGATCATGACAGTGGCATGGCTGATGTTTTCATTACCCTGCATTACTCTGTTTTCTAAGAGTGAGGAATTATACTAATGAGAATGAGACACTGATTTGCTAGTCATTCTGATATATACTATATAGTATACTGGATAGTAAACTAGAGAGTGTTCAGAGAATTAAAAAGAGATGGCCATAGAACTTGTATTGTTGGAAGAAAATGAAGCCTATGAAGGAATTCATACAAATTTTTTGAGAATCTCAGGGAAAAGGCCACTCTCTAAATAGAACAACATACATTTCCCACAAGAAGCATAAAGATGTAGGAATTGGCTGAGAAATGACTTAATGAAGCAAACTTACTCCATGGTGGTGACTTTAAGTGTGTCACTTTCATGAAGGTATTGCCATGGTCACATCAATAATGATCAGTTCCTATACAACACGCTGAAAAAGTGTAGCTTTGCATTTTTAGAAATCTCTTCCTCGGAGATGCTAAAGAGCTGATTGTAAAAATCCTCCAGGCACAAATACAGCCAAGGGAAGTCTGCCCACTGGCAGTGAAAGTTACCCAGTTTAAGGAAGGGACTGGTAAACAATTAAGCTGGGGAAAATCTAGTATGTGCTGGAGAATAATGCAATTTCCTAGTGTAGCAGATGCCGGGTGAGGGGAAGCAGACCCAGGAACAGTCCATCAGATGGGACTACCAGCTGGGTGAGAGGGGCTGGGGCAAAGGGGCAGTGCTGGGGTGCTGAATGTCAGCGAGTCACGTCTTCTCAGAGCCCACGCCAGGGGAAGGCAGGCTAGCATGGAGCCCAAGAGGGGTCTACTTTCATTTTAGAGGGACACATGGGAGATGTAGGAAACTACACACATGGAATACAAATGGAAATGTCCAAAGAATTCATTCATCCAGATTTCAACAGACCAGCACTAATAACCAAGGAAAATACAATAATAGGATTGATCACTCTGAAAAGACAGGAGAGAGAGACAGAGATACAGATAGATAGAGACAGAATTTTACACCGTAACCCCACAAACACTATAACCAAGAGGAAGAACAAAAGTGACCACAGGAAACTTTCATTAATAATGAAGCAAAGGTAAGGGCTGTCTACATTTGAAACAGATTTCTCTTGGACTTTGATAGACAAGTAACAGCTAACCACCCACTGCCAGAAAGGAATCAGTGTCTGAGACATAAGCCATCGCATGGTCCTTTCCCAGGAATTCTACAGAAACAGTCCCAGCCCCAGTGCTATTGCCCAGTCCAGGTCCTACTCCTTGGCGACGGCATAAGACCCCAAAAACTCTGAAACTAGACAGGCAGTGCCTTGTGGGTAGAGATGGTGACACAGACAGCCCGTAGCCCCTCCAGCAGCAGTCAGAAAAGAAAGCCCACCTATGCACAGAGCCACGCCCATGTCAACAGCATGACCACACCATTAGCCCAGCCAGATTCTGAGTGTCTCTGACTATGTACCCATCCAGGCGACCCAGGATGCTTCACTAGGTAAAAAGTTTCCATGACAGTGATTCTCAGGACATAGACACACTGGCCAAGATGGCCCATTGGAACCAGAAGACAATCCCCAAGCCTGCCATGTGGATTACAGTCTTGATCAGGAAAAGCCCCCTGTCTTGTCCACAAATCCACGCCAGGTGACCTTGAAGGTACTACCTTGATTCTTTGGGGCTGACTCTTGTAAAGTGGGACACAAGTCATCTGTGTTTTCTGGTTTCTTTCTTAGGGCCTGCCATGCGGTAGGCTGTCAATTAACAGGAAGGCTAGGGAAGGTATGCGGCAGGGACACCTACCATCCAGAGCAGGCAGACACGATCAGGGCCTCAGGGAAGGAGGGACACACTGCCTGCCACGTGGTGATGAATTTCAATCACCAATGCCTTGTGCCAGATTTAAATTGGCAACCCACTGAGATGAAATGCTTTCCATCCCATTACTCACGCCTGGAGGGAGCCATTCCCTGAAAGCTTGGCTTCCTAGGTGAAGGCGCAGGACGTGCGGTCCTCTGAAGATGCTTTAAGTGGGATAAAAGGTATGAAAGGTGTGCGGCAGAGACAGACTGGGTGCATCTGCAGGGCGCAGGGCCCCATGGAAGGCTGGAGACTGGGTGGGAAGGGGTGCGGAGTTTAGCGGGAAAAGAAATTCAGTTAGAAACACAGCAGCCCCCGCTTACACTGTACAGCTGCTGCTTTGCTGAGAGCACAGTGCACAACCACTTCTTCTCTGAGTGGTAGAGAAAAACCTGCATGGTTCAGTTGGTCAGATATTCACCCCATAGTTAAAGCCATCTAAAATGTGAAAAGTATAAATATTTTTTAAATAATGCAATTTAGCATTTTAACTTCTGAACATTAAGGCGCATCCCATGTGGATTTTGGTGTTAATAATCTTTGATAGAACTTTTAAAATGTCTAAAATGGTTACTTTATTTTTGAGCACTAGAGATTGAACCCAGGGCCTTGTGAATGCTAGGCAAACACCCTGTCACTGTGCTACATGACTGAATCTTCATCTTTTGTAAAAAGTTTATTTCAAGATTGAGTACAATATGCAGCAATAAAAAAGCTTCTTTAGGGCTGGGGATTTAGCTCAGTGCCTGCCTGGCAAGCACAAGGTCATGAGTTCGATCCCCAGTACCAAAAAAAAAAAAAAAAAAAAAAGCTTCTTTAAAAGTCAGAATTCACCAGCACAATAAACGTAACTGTTAGGGCAGGCAACAGGAGACAGGAGTCAGTATTATTTTCCCACCTGCCCCCTGGTGGGCTGTTTCCTAGACCCTGGGTTTAAGCTATCCATCTCCTTTATATCAAATATGCCAGCCTGTCAGAGGAAGGGGCATGGGGCCCAGCATACTCAGAGGACCAGGGAGAAAAGTTATTAAAGGTAAGCAAGGATTTTTCAAATCATATCAACTTGGGAAGTAACAATTGATTATTTCCAATGGGGGAAAAATGTTTACTCTGGCTTTCTCCCCATCTGGAACTCCAGGACAACCTAGAATGGCCCAATCCCAGGAAATCCCAGGGGCAGGGGATAAGGAGGGGGAGTTCGTGATCCCTGCCAGTGCCAGCACCCCTACTCAGGCCATCCCAGGGCTGAGGGCAACCAGGCCACAGGCACCACAAGGGCCTACAACTTCTCTTGGCTTTACTTACCTTTACTCCATCTTACCCAGAAGCTGCCAAGCATGACCCCACCTGGTCAGTCCTCTCCTTTTTCCTTCCAGCCCCTTCCCCTGGGACCAGCCTGACCCCACAGAAGTGCATTTGGGATGGACACAGCATGGAGTGGCTTCTGATCCCAGTGTGCTATCTTCACCTCAGATTGACAGCTCCAACACAGCCACCTGCAAGCAGACCCTTGGCCCTCTAAGAGGCTCGCTCATATGCCCTCCGTAGAGGCCATCATACCTGTCACTGCTGGTGTCACTGTGACCCAGGGATGAATGAGAGTTGGAGGGGTTCATTTCAAAATGATACAGGGTTAGGGCCCAGAAGGTCCCAGACTGGCTAGGAGGGGAGCTGTGGACACAGGCATTTTAGTGCTACTCAGGCCAGGCTCCAGGCCAGGCAGTGTGCTAATTCTAACTGGTCTGTGAGCTCCTAAGCACAGAAATCAAGAGACGTGTTCAGGACTCTTACAGCAGTTGGACAATGATTCTAGTCTCGGAAATCTAATAATAAAATAACTGGACTTGAATTTGTGTCTTCCCTGCTTTTTAATCTAATTTTACCAGGAGTTCACTTTTTACAGAACTATGACAGACAGTGCTTTAAAATAAAAATTAAAAAGGTCCTTCATCAAAGACAGATTCAGAAATGCTGCTCTGTATGATTTTTACTACCTCTGCATTTGTGCTTATGTTTTCCAGAATAACAAGGACAAAAAAGAATTAGCATTTGCCTTTGATCTCTATTTAAGTATAAACTTGTAACTTAGCAGAAGAGAAACATCAATTGGCTTTTTATCTCCCTGAGCTCCTTTTATTTGTCTGAGCGCCATCACCTGTGCTGGGCCAGTCTCCGGCTCAGGACTCAGATTCTTGAACCTTCCCTTTCCTCTCCTCTCCCGCAGGAAAACATGTGGCTTGCCAAGGGTTTCCTTTCGCTGGCTGGAGTGGCCCTCTACATGCGTGTGACAAGCCTGCGCATCGGCCCCCTTGACCTGGTTTATTTTCCAGCAGGTTTCACGCACACGTGTCCGTTTCCACTGAAAATGACATCCAGGTGCTCCACCAGTCCCTCTCCCCATTGTGGTCACAACAGGATGCTTCAGCCTTTCAAAGTCAAAAACTCTTGCCACTCCTAGGCAGCACACAGGACCCTGTTTGTCACCCAAGAGTTCCCAGAGAGGAGTTAAAAAACCATCAGTTTAAAAGCAAACAAGGATTAGTGGGGAGGATAGGAGTTCTATTGTCCTGCAGCACAAGGCCACTTGCTGTTTTGGATGCTAAGTGTAGACTCCAAGGGGGACTCTGCTCTGAGCAGGGGAGAAGAAAATGGAAATCCACGGGAGGGCGACCCTCAGCCATTTGTCCTGGGCCACTGCTATCCATGGGTGCTCCTGTGGGGTTGCCCTGCAGGAGAGCATGGCTGCCATGGGAGGTGACGGTGAAACAGCCACTCGAGGGCAGGGCTGTGAGGGCCGGGAGCCGCCTGTAAGGGTATGAGCGCCAGCTTCCCTGTAATTAAGAAGCAGCCTGCTCCTAGGAAGACTCTGCTGCCACCCCATCTGCCAAGCCCGCGGGAGCTGGCACCGCGCCGCCCTGCCTGCCGCCCTGCTACCCACCGCGTCCTTGGAGACCGCCTTTGATGGAGCGTTGATGCCAAGCTTTTCCAGAGGATAGACAATCTGTCGTCGTGGTCGCACGGGAACCAAGTAATGAAGGGCAGATGTCAGCGAGTGGGCATAGGGGCTCTGCAGCTGAAAGACAGCAATCTATATTTTAGCGGAGAGAATGTCAGAGAGGCACGAGGCAGATGTCTGTGTGCAGCTTTACAAATACAGAGCTCTCCACGCAGCCAAGTCAGAGGGGGAGACATCAGCAAATAAACAAACATACTCTTAGAGCAGAGGAATGAATTGTAGATAATGCCTGACACTAATGAAGATAATTACGAGAGTAATTACATTACTATCTCTGTGGGAATGACAGATAAACAAGTGGTTTGGTTTATGGGATTTCTCGGTACAAGTACCTCCCCCAGGAGGATATGATTCCTCCACGGTGATCATGAATCAGCGTGCTCTGACCCCACTGAGCTGTTCTACCTAGGTCCCGTTAACCTGTGTGTGTGGCAGCTTTCCGAAGCTGTATGGGAATGATGCCACCCGAAGAGCGAGTGAGCGTGGGTGGAGATATCCCCCCCCCCAAAAAAAAACTCAAGGAGACTCCACTGGACCTTTGTTGATAAAATCAATATTTAAAAACAAAAGGATCAGACTGGAACGTGGGTGTGGGTGTGAGGAAAGCAGATCAAATTATTTTGACCTTAAATTATAGCTGGGTTTATGCGGATTGAAATAGACTGTGAAAAATCATGTTTTAAAAAAGTGCTTTGAGTATTAATTTTACCTAGCACTAAAAACTTGCCAGAGAAAGTTAATTGTGTTTTTATTTCTGACACATCAATAAAATCCTAGTTTGATGAAACCAAAACTCAGGACAGGTTTAACATTTAAACCTCAAGAGTTAAACTGTGAAATCAAAAAAATTTTTTAGAGTTTTTTTGGGCGGGGGCATTCAGGAATCAAACTCAGGGCCTTGCACTTGCCAGGTAGATGCTTATGCAACTGAACTATATCCCTGGCCCAAACCCAAAACTTTTAATACTACGTCTATTCAATTGAAGACAGAAACCAATGAAAGTAAAGTTGAACTTTGGATGTACTGTAATACGATGAGCTACACCGTATTTATCTGCTCTCCTAAAAAGAACCCCAGGCATTTCCAAGAGTTTCTAAAACCCTTTACCAAACAGTCCAGATCATAGCTGGACTCCACGAACTGAACAGCAGACTCCAGGAACCCCAAGGACACTACCCTTTTCAAGCTGAAAAGCCCGATTTTGCTAATATCAGGTATAGATTCACTGTACAAGTTGGAAATTCTTACTCAAATTGTTTGGAATTGCTTCTTACACTTCGTGTGTGTGTGTGTGTGTGTGTGTGTGTGTGTACACTAGAAATGTAGGCAGAGAGGAAATCTGTTTCCGAAGCTCCTATCTGATAGTATGCAGCACACTCCTGAATCTGTAGCACTGTGGCAAATGGATAATGAAACGCCCAACATCTTTTTTCTAGCACAGATGGGAACAGAATTTCTCCAGCCCAGCACATCCTGGTTGACCTCATGAATAAAAACTCAGGATTTTGTGTCACACCCTGAAGGGCACACTGCTGGTGTTTGGCCAGGTGTGAATTTAAAGGAAACTACAAGACTAGAGCTTCCAGCGAGCCCTCGACCCCCATTTCACTGCTTTAAATCTGGGGCGTTTGCATTGTTACAAGCTGTGCTGGAGCACAATTCACCTGGCACTGAAAACTCCACCTGTGTGTTCTCTTCCTTCCCCATCTGCCTGTCCTAGCTCAAAACGCTTTTGCTCTGTAAGATACAATTGCTTAATGACTGTTATGTGTTGTCCTCAGACACACTGCCTTGTTTAATAAGTAGTTTGATAAACAAGGTTATTTAAAAGTCTGCTAAGCTGCCTTGTGATGACTCAGAAGACGTGTGACAATGCTCAGGGCCCTGAGTCCTGAAGTTCTCGAGAGGCTGCAGCCCTCAGAGCTCAGGAGCCCAGTGTGTGAGGACACAGCCTAGAGAGTGGAACAGAGAGCAGGAGCTGAGCACCAGCGGGGATGGCAGCAGGGCCACTGGGACAGGGTGTGTGTGTATGTGTGAGTGGGTGTGCATGTGCAAGTGTGTGTGTGCATAGATATGCACAGCTTCCAGACACTGGGAATTCAGTACCAAACAAGGAAGACACACTGACGTCTATAGTGATGCACAAGTTTACAACCCACCAACAATGCAGAAGTTTTTTTTCTCCCCTGAAGTGTGGAGAAAAAGCTAAAACTGGAAATCTCATTCAATCCAGCTATTCCTCTTTAGGTGTCTTCCCAAAAAGACAAAGACATCATATTACCGTGATTAGGGCATACCCAGGTTTACAGCAGCACAATTCACAATAGCTAGGCTTGGAAGCAGCTGAGATGTCCACCAAAACGTGAATGGATAAAGAAAATGTGATATTTACACACAGCAAAGAACTACTCTGCCATAAAGGACAACTTTAAGTCACCTGCAGAAAAATGGATGCACCTTCAGATCATAATGTTAAGTGAAATAAATCAGACACACAAGCTGAAACATAGCATGGCTTCTCTTATATGAGAAACCCAAAGCATAAGTAAGGAACAAAATAAAAGGTACTCGGAAACAGGAAGATAAACTTTTGCAAATGCGGAGAGAACCAACAGAGATGGAGGGAGGGGAGGGGAAAGAGATGTAAGAAGAATTAAGAAATGTTGTGTGCGTGTACTACCTCTCTATGATGAATGTGCTCATTATGTCCTGCAAACAGGTACTGGAACATTTTTTAAAAGTTTTGAAGAAAAAGACCACTGCCTTCAGGGTACTGCACATCCTGCAGCCCCTACAAGCACTATGAAGAGCCAGGAAGCGGACTACAGGCCTGGAGGCAGCTGAGCCTGCTTTCCAGGTGCACACACATCAGCCCCATGCTGTTGTGCAAGAAAAGGGCCAAGCTCAAGACAGCTGAGGAGAACTGAGACGTACGATGCAATCAAATCTGTCCAGGGAGGCAACAATGGGTGCAGAGTGGGTACAGAGTTGGCACGTATGCACCCAGGGCACCTCGTGCACCCAGCCTGCAGGCAGCAGGTTCAGCATTCTTACTTTGCCCTCCCGGGTCTGTGGGTACACGGGGTAGTAGAGACAGGTCTTGGAGCCCAGGCGAAGGATCTCCTTCAGGAAGAACTTTGTGTAGTGCCGGAAGGCGGGGTTCAGGGCCAAGTGGTGCAGACGCCCGTGCTCGTCCCGCTGGTGGTGGTTGAAGTAGATGAAGTCTTCGATGTTGTAGTGGGAGCGTATGTACTCGATGTCCTACAGAGGAGAAAGGGCACTGGAGACCAACTGCAGGCATGCCATGATAAACACCCAGGGAAATGACCTTCCAGCTGGGCATGCTGAAGCACACCTATAATCCCAGGGCTATGGAGGCTGAAGGCAGGAGCATCACAAGTTCAAGCCCAGCCTGAGCAACCTAGAAAGACGCTGTCTCAAAGTAAAAAAATCTAATAAAGGGCTCTGGGTTTGGTCTCCAGTACCATACATGTGCACATGCACACATATCCAATTAATTACTTTAGATACAACAGTAGAAAGATGTTTTTCTCACACTGTCTACCACCTTGTTTTTGTGGTGAGTTTTTGAAATTAACAACTATGTTTCCTAAAAGGTGCTTGCTCTGAAGGCTGGTCTTGTAGCACAGCTGCAGAACTTTGGAGTTTATTCCTCGCTTGTGGCTGTGATCAGTGCCAAAAACGTGTCAGACACAGCCTCTCGAGCTGGACATGAGCACGAGCTGGTCCACACAAGAGCAGCAGCAGAGCCTCTGGCATCCCCTGCAGGGGTGCTGCTTCCTTGGTGGAGGTGAGATGTGTCAGCTCAAAGTCCCACACATCGATTGACATGTGTGGCGGGCCGTGACACCAGGCCCCGCCCACATCACTCTTTAAACTTCCCGTTCTCCAATGAAAGGAGTCACAGCTTTCTCTGGGCCAGATCCTGGGCGCCCTTTGTCTGCCTGCACTGGGAAGCAGTGGCCCAGCCTTGCCTGTGTCATCTCCCAACAGCACACACTGTCAAGGCTGGGAAGGGGCCTGGTGACAGCAGGCTCAACTCCTGACAAACAGGCCTGCCTCTAGTGTGCAGCTGTAACCACCATCAACACATCCAAACTACAGGGAAAGTGAACTCCAAGGCGGGTTGGAAGACATTGACTTAGATGGTCTATTGCTTTCCACAGGGCAGTGGCTTTGAGCAGCGCCTTTGGAGGCTGCAGGGAACTTGATTTATCCTGTGAGTAGGAGGCCAGGGCCACTAAACAGTGCAGACTTGAGAGTCTGTGGCCAAGCCCCACAAGGTCCCTTGTACTCCAACTTTGGCACAGAGCACAGAATGAGCTGGGGGTCCCCAGACTGGGACTGGCTCCTAGAATGGCTCTGGACCCCTTTCAGTCTATGCTGATATTGTAATGCCCAGTATACTGTAAGGCTTTTCATTAATTATCAAGAACACATCCCTCATTAAAAAATGAGTAACTCATGTAAGGTGGAGAAGTCACTGAAAAGCAAAAAGCAAAAAGCCATGGTAGTTATTAGCGAAAAATAGCAGATAGGCCCTGTGCATCTAATTTTCCTCCTATCTCTGAGCCCTTAAAATAACCAATACATATTTCTGAAAGAATGGGGGAGTAACAGGGATCAAAACATAAGGCAATTTTGTCTTGGAAGAAAACTCTACCTACCACTCATTACACCTTCACACCTTGGGCCATGTCAGAGTTTGTGCTTCCCTACAACATCCAACCACCAAGAGGAAGCCAGACAGGGCAATCACCCTCCTGGTCAGGCAGTGACAGAAAAGACATGATGGAGAAGCCCACAGGCACAGCTGCCCACCTCTCCTGAGCAGCCTAGATCACAATGACAACTTAATCTCTCACTGATGACCAACTTGAAATGGATTAAGCAAAATCCAGAATGGAGAAAGATGCCCCTTGCCATATAACAAAGAGATTATTCAGATAACAAGGAAGAATCTTAAAAACCTACGTAGTACCTGCAGAGATACCAAAGGATATCTTACTGTTAGTACAACAAACAAGTCAATCCACTGATCAAAATACCAATAGCATATTTCACAGAACTAAAGAAAGCAATCCTAAAATTCATTTGTAACCAGAAGAGACCTAGAACAGCAAAAACAATCCTAGGCAACAACAGCAAGACAGGAAGCATCACAATCCCTGATTTAAAATTATACTATAGAGCTATTGTGATAAAACAGCATGGTACTGGCAAAGAAAAACAGACCTAATGATCAATGCTATAGAATAGAAGATGCAGAAACAACTCCAAACACAAAACAGCCATATTATCTTTGATAAAGGGAGAAAGTATCTTCACTGAGAAAAGATAACCCCTTTAATAAATGGTACTGGAAAAACTGGCTTTTCACATGCAGGAGATTAAATCTAGACCCATATTTCTCACCATGAATTCGCTCAACTGAATTCAAAATAGATCAAAGATTTGAATATTAAAACAGAAATGCTAACACTAAATCTGCTGGAGGATAGAATAGGTAAAACTCTTGAAGACAGATATATGCAAAGACTTTATGAACAAATTCTGATAGGACAGGAAATATAAAGAATCAACAACTGGGACCTCATTGTTTTAAAAAGCTCTTGGAAAGCAAAAGAAACCACCAACAGAATGAAAAAGACAACCCACAGAATGGAAAAAAATTTTATCAGCTATTCCCCAGACAAAAGACTAAATCTAAAACATAGAAAACACTCAAAATATCAGATCCTTATAAATTTAAAGACCGAATCCAAAAATGGGGACTTGAAATGAATAGATACTTCTCAGAGGAAGAAATACAAACAGCAAATAAACACATGAAAAAAATGCTCAACATCACCAAGCCATTTGAGAAATGTGAATTAAAACACCATTGAGTTTCCATTTCCAGGAAGAACAGCTATGATCAAGAAGTCAACCAACAACAACTGAGGGCTTTCAACCCGGGGAGCTGAGGCTGTGAGGTGAGTTCCAGTGCACTGGCAGGGGTTGGGGTAAATTTAAGACCATCGCTCTCAGCAGTTAAGTGCCCACCCGGCTTCCAGATACACTGAACTAGGCTCTGCAGGTTTTGAGGGCCTGACTAGACCATGCCCAGCGACCTTTGTTCAATCCAAGAAGCTGAGGGCACATGAGGTGAGTCCCAGCACATGGGCACTAGCCTGGGGAGAGCTTTGGACCATCACCCACATCGGTTAGGAGCCTGCCCAGCTTTCTGGAACACTGGAGGTGGCACAGGAGGTTCTTCGGGCCTGACTGGGCCACGCTCAGCAAGCTCCATTCAGTCCCAGGAGTTGAGGCCATAGGAGGCAATTTCCAACACGCCCAGGAGAACCTTTGGAACATCACTGGAAACACAGAAATACAGGAAAATGATACAACAAAAGACCAAAATGCAATCTCAAACCTCCAGCCCATCCCAAGAAAGCCTAGGATCCATGTACATAGAAAAAAAATATAAGCCATACACTTGAAATGATAGCAACTGAAATAAAGAAGCAACTCTGAGAAGCTATGAAGGAACTCAAATTAGGAATAATCTTTCAGATAAAAGAAGAAATGATAAAAGTAATGAAAGAAATGCTGAACAGAGTCCTGGGCCCTTATCACACACGCAGGTTTAATTTCAATGCACTGGGAAAACTTGGAACTCTGCTCCCAGGCGATAAGACCAAGCTCTATGTCTGAAACCACCCTAAGATTAGCGGGAGGTACCCGAGGGCCTAACCAGGCCACCCCCAACGAACTCCAAACTGCAAGCAGGGCCCAGAATTCAGTCCCGAGCCCTGACCACGCGGGGGTTTAATTCCAGTACTTGTGGAGGCCTTAGAACTTCACTCCCAGGCAATAAGACCATGACCTGTGTCTGAAATCACCAAATAACACACGGAGTCTCTGCAAGCCCAACAGGCCCACTCCCAGTGAGCTCCAAGTGGCAAGCAGTTGCCAGCAGTCTGCCCCGGGAGCAAAAAGTGGGCCAGGTGATTCCCAGCGCACCGAGGAAGCTTTGAAACATTGTTCAAAATCCAGAAATAGGTGTGACTTCAGCCAGCACTGAGGAGCACCACACTGCCCTGGGACCTTGGCACATGCCCAGCAGACACCTGGACCCAGAACATCTGCTGGCCTCTCAGGGACTCTCCCTACCTCCTGGACCTAATACTGCTGTTGATCTTCAGCTCCCACCCTTTCTCTGAGAACCTTGGAATACAGAGGATTAACTGTGCTAGCTTGAAGGGAAATTCAGTAACTGCCTCACCCAAACAGTAGAAAGATCTCAGCAGGCTTCAGTCAGTATGGTGAGTATGCCCCTAAAATAGCAGTGTACAGTGGGTAAATAGGGCCAGTAGTAAAGCTCCATCCAACTAACTGTAAGACCTTGGTGAATCTGGCAAGGGTGTGGGTGACCCCTTCCTGCACACAGAAAACATCAGGCAGGGTAAAGAGTGTGCCAATAAGGACTCCCCCAACTTGGAGAAAATCAAAAGGGCTTCTGAGACACACAGGCACACAACAGGGACACCGTAGGACCTCAGCTGACACAAACACTATAGACAGGGAGATTTGGTGACCTAGAATAACCTGAAGATAAAGTAATAGTAGGAACTAAAAGTTGACCTACATCAATTCTACTAGGCTTGTCAGCCCAGGAAGAATATAGGACTCACCCAACAGGCCCTGCAGTGGGAAGTCAGGTGGCTGGCCCATCTCTTCATTGAAGGACCCAGCAATTGGCCAAACATCAACCTTACATTAGGACCCCAAGACACACATTACCAACTGTTGACACTAGTGGGATTGAAGGACCAAATATTAACTTGAAAGGGGAAAATGGTAAAATGAAAAAGCAAAATGCAATCTCAAACATGTAGTCCACAGAAGGAAGTACAGGAGTCATTGAAATACAGGACTTCAAAAGTAATACACTGGAAATCTCTGAAAAGATAGCACGTGAAATAAAAAAAAACAACTCCATGAGGCTATAGAGGAAATCAAATTAGAAGTACTCTCCCATGTAAAGATAGAAATAACAATCTTTTTTTTTTTTTTTTTTTTGTCTTTTTCGGTTTTTTATCGGTACCAGGGATTGAACTCATGACTGCCTGCCTGCAAGGCAGGCGCTTATGCTGCTGAGGTAATCCCCAGCCCCGGAAATAACAATCTTAGTAAAGGAGTTGCTGAGCACAGCTAAAGAAGTAGTAGAGAAAAAATTACAGGAGCATGGGAAA